ATAATCTTATATTAGCGCCTACGTGTTTCATGTTCTCGCTGTAATGATATGTATGTCATTGAATGTCAGAAGTAGGGTCAGGCTAAGCCTTTCGTAACTCCTACTTAATGGATTCTAAATAAAGACACTGGAGAGTGTGTAGGGTTCCTCTGATATGTTGTTTTATGTACCTGTGTTTATTTCTGATTTATAGGAAATATATCAACATCAAATGTAATGGCCAAACTTGACTGATGTAGGATAAAGTTTACCCATGTGTGATAGCATGCTTCCGATACTTAAATCTCAAACTCGTGGTTCACAAAGGTCCAGTGGATGTGGTACTTATGACATAAGAATTCGGAGGAGATTTGAGGGATACAATTCTACTCACCAAGGCCTAATACTAATATATGGTTTTTTATGCCAGCTAGGCTAGTTTTCAGTTTTTGCTATGAAAATAATGTTGATGGTTTTTTAAGAAATCTCACACAATTAACGGGCAAAACCTTATAAAAACAGGTGTGATGTGAATAATGAAAACAGGTGTGATGTGTATAATGAAAACAGGTAGCACAAAGCTAGAAGGAAATAGCATATTTACTCCTGAAGACACATTTGAACTCCTCCAATTCAAAGTTTGGAACAGTTCATTACAAAATTTCAGGGGCGAAAGAGTTATTTATCCAATTTACAATTAAAACATCCCACATTATGTAATGCACCTGTCAGCACTCGATGCTTCCTCTATCAGACAATAATACAGTTACACAGATCTACGATTTCTCCCATCAATAATACAGTTACACAGATCTACGATTTCTCCCATCAATAATACAGTTACACAGATCTACGATTTCTCCCATCAATAATACAGTTACACAGATCTACGATTTCTCCCATCAATAATACAGTTACACAGATCTACGATTTCTCCCATCAATAATACAGTTACACAGATCTACGATTTCTCCCATCAATAATACAGTTACACAGATCTACGATTTCTCCCATCAATAATACAGTTACACAGATCTACGATTTCTCCCATCAATAATACAGTCACACAGATCTACGATTTCTCCCATCAATAATACAGTTACACAGATCTACGATTTCTCCCATCAATAATACAGTTACACAGATCTACAATTTCTCCCATCAATAATACTGGTGTGAATCAATATTCTTTGTTGGCAGATTATCAATTGTGAAAGAAATATGATTGATGGCAGTCATTGGTTTCAGCTCAGTAATATTCAAGGGTGGTTGGTACTGAGCGTGTGTTTACATAGACTCAGCCTATAGCTCTAGGGACAAAATACAAACAGTTTGGATACTAAAAACCTACATGTACATCCGCTGATTTCCCAACCCACACCTGGGGCCACACTATCCATTCTCAGCCGGTGTACATGTGCTTTATAATTCTGATGACAATTCTTATCTTCTTTTTAGCATTTTCTTCTAAAAGCTTGTGTAACCCTTTTAATCAGAAGAATCTATGGAATGATATTTGTGAAGGTGTCTATTGAATGGTATAGCTAGCCAGATCACCAAAGTGACACCCATGCATCTGCCTGAATCACATGGTGTTGAAGCTGGGGGTCTCATCTGTTGGTTGAATTTCAAAATTAGTATGAAGATGGGGTTTTTTTAAAACCATTCAAGAATATAAAAATATGTAGAGAACAAAAAAATATATCTGACACCTAAATAAACAGCTTTTAACTAATGTTTGTAAATTTTTAATTTTCAATCTTCATTTATTTACATTTACAAGAGGCCCTACGTAAGGGGCCTGAATAGCTTATCTTATCTTCTCTCATGTTCTAACTCCCTGTAACCACAGGAAGTGCCAAGGATATCATTTGTAACAGGAAAGAGAGTAGTGTGCTTCCACGGAGGATCAAACCTGCGATCCCAAACTTCCTAGTCAGATGTTCTACCAGTGAATTGAAGGGAAATTCCCAATAGCTCGAAGCTAGAAGGCGACTGTACAATTGAAATCTGCCACACTTCCTTTTGAAAAGCCAGATCATGCCACTGACAACTTAAGATTATTTGTATGCAACATCACAGATTGGATGATCTCCAGCACAATTCATTGTATATATATATATATATCCATTATGTAACACTTTTGATGTATCTAATTGCCACATGCAGTCGTCATAATTGAAACATTATCTTCAAGTCAAGATTAATGTATTTACATACAAAATAAACTATAGCATAGCCTCTATTATACAGCCATCTTTAATCTAGTGAAAGGCGCTAGGTTGTTTGATGACTCTGATGACTTGAGACATCCTTGTATAAAAAAAGACAATCTGTCCCTTAAAACACTGGCTGTATACAGGGACAACTGGATTAATTAGGGCTTTATAAGGGAGAAATGAACTGAAAACATTGTATTATTTCATTACTTGTGCAATTATCGGTGACTGAACATATATAAGTGTTATATATTAGTAAAATGTACAAGATATTTTGTTTTAGTTACAGTATAACCTTGATTAATGCCCCTCATTTCATTTGCCACCTCGCTCACTACAAACATATTTCAATTTCCCTTTAGTTTTGTTTTTTTGTAAAGAATTCCTTTATACATTTCTCTCAATCTTTTGCTAAGCGGCCCTTTATAATACATCAAATTTACCTGGACAGATTGTGACAGTATAACAAGGTTTTAGTGTACATAAAGAAGTAAGATTACAGAAGGAACAAACGATAAGATATATCAACAAACAAATCACTGCCAATCTTCAAAACTTCAATTTAATTTACATGCATTACTGAATTCCACTTTTTCTGCAAAAAATTCAATTGTTATCTCAACATCGTTTTTGAATAATAATTACTCAAAAAGGTAAATAATACTGCATACAATCACAACAACTTCCACAAGCGATCTGCAATTGTTACGAATAGAGCCAACGGAAACAAAACTTAGTAGCAATCAAAATAACTTGTAGTGAAATAATGTAAGACACATCAACAATTGGACATTAGTGCCAGGGAACATCCTAGGACCACAATCCAATAGTACAGAGATAATTGGTGAAATAGTCCAAGGACCACAATCCAATAGTACAGAGCTAAATGGCGAAATAGTCCAAGGACCACAATCCAATAGTACAGAGGTAATTGGTGAAATAGTCCTAGGGCCACAATCCAATAGTACAGAGATAATTGGTGAAATAGTCCTAGGACCACAATCCAATAGTACAGAGCTAATTGGTGAAATAGTCCAAGGACCACAATCCAATAGTACAGAGATAATTGGCGAAATAGTCCAAGGATCACAATCCAATAGTACAGAGCTAATTGGTAAAATAGTCCAAGGATCACAATCCAATAGTACAGAGATAATTGGCGAAAATAGTCCAAGGATCACAATCCAATAGTACAGAGATAATTGGTGAAATAGTCCAAGGATCACAATCCAATAGTACAGAGATAATTGGTGAAATAGTCCAAGGATCACAATCCAATAGTACAGAGATAATTAGTGAAATAGTCCAAGGATCACAATCCAATAGTCCAGAGATAATTAGTGAAATAGTCCAAGGATCACAATCCAAAAATTACGGAGCTAATTGATGAAATAGTCCAAGGATCACAATCCAAAAATTACGGAGCTGATCGGCAAAATAACCCAAAAGATCACAACCCAACGTTCAAAAGGAATTATTCAGAGCAATTCAATGCAAAATTGTTAGTCAGGGTCAATCCTTTACCGGACCGCAATCCATCTCAAAGGAGTTAGTGAACTAATCCCAAAAACTGCAATCCAACACTCGGGAGTTAGTCAAAATCAAACTTCCAACATTTTAAGGGTTAGTATAGGGGTTGTGTATTTTTCAGATTCAGGGGATCACTCAAGGAAATTATTAGTTTGTTAAGATTTTAAGATTTCACCCAAGGAAATTATTAGTTTGTTAAGATTTTAAGATTTCACCCAAGGAAATTATTAGTTTGTTAAGATTTTAAGATTTCACCAAGTCTACATCTATATACTAAAACCTATGGTACAAGGTAACTTGACTAGGTGTATTAGTATGCCCTACTACCTGGAGCAATTCTTTTAGTCAATTAATATCATGTTTAATTATAGATTATCTGTAGTATTTTATCATAAATATCAATATTTGCTAAGTTTTTACACAGGTTTGATAATTTTATTTCCAATTTGATACGACTATCCCACGGAAACCCTACCTTTATCTTGCTACAGAACTTCACCCCATTTTCCTGTAATTTTGACTCAGTTATCATCAAAGCATTATCTGTAGTGACAAATCTAATCTGAATTATGCCAAAACATTCTACAGAAAACTTTTCTCTCCTAGATACAATTCCTTAACTTATACCGGAGAAGCAAAAGAAAATATTTTAACAAATTTTGAGCTCTAGGTTATTTTCTTTTACTTTTTTTGGTACTGATAAATGTTGAATTTCATTCTTTAATTAACTGAAAATAACAGACAAGCTTACAAATTCTCTTCCCATGTGTAATAATTTATAGTTGAGTGATTATTTAAATATTCATGAATCTTTCAATTTCTGAATAAGCTCCTATTCCTATAATCATCTTATTTACTACTTTCTATTTTATCTGTTTATTTATCTTTCTATTTCTTGTTGGTTTTTTAAAAAATTCTTTTAATTCATTTTTTAAATACACCAAAAATATGAAAAAAAATCACTTCTTCTTTTTCATTTCTTGATTATTAAAAATATGATTTTCTTTTGAATTCTTCTTTTTCATTCCTTGATTTAATAGAAGATACTTTATTTGCTATTTTGTTTTGTTTTAATAATTAAATAATTTAAGACACTTAATTCACATTTATTTTTTAATTGTACTTAAAAAAACACTTCTATTTTATTGTTGAATGAAAAAAATAGTTTTGCAAAAATGTAATTGAGATTTTAATTAGTAACAAATATTTTTCTTTATATTTTTTTTAGGTGAGATTTTCCAAGTTAGAAGGGGATCATGGAACTTATCTTACCATTTCTTCTATCTGGGCCTTGACAGAACTTCCCTGTAAGGAAATTAATACTGTATAATCTAGAATAAACCCACATGCATATCACCATAGTAATGGCTGAATATGAACCTGACCTTGCAGGAAACATTGACCCCAGCTAACTTAGGGGTCAACTAAATTAGGCATTTTGAGTTATAATATATCATGTACATTGCAAAGTGGTTTTTGTTTAAGAAATTTGAAAAAATAAACAAAAGTTCTTTAAAACTAATTATATTTTATAAAGCTGTTTGTAGGATATCTGACACAGTGTTTTCATTACGACTTCTTTGTTTTTTTCATGAGCTACATAATATATTTTTGTTTTCAAAATATGGATTGATATTCTGATTAAATTAATTCAATGAATGACACAACATCTGAATAAAGGGGAAGAAAACAAAAAAACTTCAAATGTACCTTCGTTTCATCATTTGGATTGTTTAAAAAACAACTTTTTTATTGTTGGGACAAAATGGTGATTTTTTCTAAAAACATTTTAACATTTAACCTTAAAGTAACATTTTGCATTATGTAGCAGTTATTTTGTTTGCAATTTTTTTTAAACTGCAGTTCATTATTTTTTTTATTTTTTGGTGGTTTTTTTTAGGAATATTTCAGTAGTATTACTAATGAAATAGTGGGCTAATTTCAACTTGATATCATGTTCTTTATTTTCATGTTTGGTTAATACCATGTTTTTACTAAACAATATTTATCTATATAAATAAAAGACATAATGTAGAAGAAAATCTTTGCAATACACATAATATTTTCAAAATGATGTTGTCCTGAGCAAGATCTAGGTGCATCTATCTATCCACCAGAAATATTCTGTTAATCTAAAATGTCTACTCAGTTAATGTCACATATCCCAGCAAAATGCAGAGAATACATCAATATTATTGTACCAAATAGTTGTTACATATCATAACAGTGTCCATGTTTCTTCTACATACTCATTTAATTATACATTTGTATTATCAATAATCTCATACAGAAAAAAAAAACATTTCTTAAAAATATATAGATAATGCAATAATATAATACAGTCTTCATTTTGTAGAATAAGAAATATTTGACTAAAATATTGAATATTGTTTTTAAGGCATGCATTATTAAATATAAGACTGGAAAAATACATCCTAACTAAAGCCTATGACTATTATATTGATAAACATAGATAAAAAGGAATACAGTTCATGATTTTCTAAATTAAAGTAAACATTCTTAACCAATTTCGTCCAATTTTCCAAAGAAAATTTCTTCAGGTAATTTTATCATTATAGAATCATTATGGATTTTAATTGATGACTTAACCTCTATAAGTGCAGGTGAAATCTACCATGCTGCATCATCAGTGAAGAATTTTAGCCAAAGAAAGTGAGAGTTACCTCCCCTATACCATGTTTTACAACTTGGCTGGGAATCCAAAAGATTTACCAGCATCTTCAGACAAATACCAATAGACCAGTACCAAGTATCCATCAGATTGTATAATTCAAACAGAAAATGCAGATATGGCCAGTTTGAGGTGCAGATACCACATCTCACTGTGGTTCAACTTGAAGCATGCAGACCTAAGACTGTGAAAGTCGGGCAAAGAATTATAGCTCAAGTGTGCAAGATATGTTTCCTGTCAATCAGCAAGAAAAAGAATCAAGGATATGATACATCATTAAGTATAAAAAAATGAAAAGTTAAATCAATAATACTAACAAATTTTACACTTTTTTATCATTTTTCCATTCTTCTTAAGTTTTTCTCATATTCCATCATGTTAGAAACCCCGTGTTATTATCAAAACACGATCAAACCTAATTTTCACTTCAAACTCAAACTTCATGTGAAAAAAAGACCTCCTGCATAAAAAGTGCTTTAACAAATTAGTTCGCTGTTGAGTGAGAAATTGTGTCTTCTAACAAAAACATCCCACTTAAGTTATTTTTTTCACTCAGACATTAAGCATTATCACATGACGCTTATCAACCAATCAAAGAACAGATTACATAAATTTTCCATACCAAATTAGCCTCGACTGAATAGTAATGTAATATTTTTCTTAACTGCAAAGATTTTCCAAAAGAATTTCAGGATTTCAAAAATCAGAAATCACTATCTATTATTCCCCAGCCAAACAGAAACTATACAGTACATACACAATATATACTTTAAAGCATAGTTATAAACACTTCGTTGCATATGTATCAGGATAAATACCAATAACTCAAGCCTCAAACCATTGTTCAAAGACGAAATAGTTTCAGGATTTACTGGGTATCAACAAATTTTCAAAAAACACATTTTGTTTAAAACAAAATCTTGAAATTTTCAAAAAAAAAAATGTTTTTTTGTATACTGGATCTTTTTATATGAAATTTTATTTGTGAATTTTCTATAATTTTCAACAAAGATTTAATTTTATGGGCTTGAACAAATGGGTCAAATTTTTTCTCCCTAAACGATAAAAGTTACAAATTATAGCACATTTCACCAATCACAAATATAGAACTTACCAATTTCATTTTTTTTCAATTCTTAACATTTGAAACAATTACTTTCTTACCAAACATCTACATTGATGGAAAGATATAAACAGACATAAAATACCAAATTGGTGGGACTTTCAGAAAAGACAGTAGGACAGACACATCGACAAATCATTATCACTCACATGCTTGACATGCACAGTACAGACTATATACACATAAAGAGTGACTTGACCAGGACTTACCTGGGCCACTTTTTCAGACACGTTATGCTTCATATTCTGAACGTTGGGAAGGAAGACGCCTTTACCAGTCCCTGGCATAACTCCGTCCCTTTCTTGGGTCCAGCCCATCTGGAAGGAGTCGGCTAACAAATTCCCAGAACTGTCCGTCAACTGTTTAGTTCTGTGTTTGGCAAGTTCGGAGTCACTGCATGTTTGGTTGATACAGTTGGATTTGACATGGTTCCCTGTCCCTAAAAAACATTCATCAGAACAGAATCATTGTTGCGGTGCTTTGATAGCAGGAAAACAACAAACTAAATCTTACTGAAACCTGTTGATAATAACCTCAGGTAAGTTAGCGAGTAAACAAGGATAAAAAACAGAGAAAATCAAATCATGTAGGAAATTATAGCATGTTTTAAGGAGGTATGCTACCTTATGCTGTATGACTAGTACTGTAGGTTATCTCCCTTAATAATTTTTTTTAAATGAATTGATTGAAAATAATAAGAACAGATTTCCTTTAAGTATGATGGTCTGAATTGATGCATCACAAATAATGATAAATTGTTAGCCAACAAAACAGTTGTTGTTCAAAAACTTTGTTCCTAAATAAAACTGACACATGTACTGACAACTAGTGAAAGGAAACACTACCTTCACCTTTACATTTATATTTACATGTGTTTACACCTTCTCCTTGACAGCAGCCACAACAAAACATTTGTGTCTATTATAATATATCCTATTCCCACAGATCTTGGTTATGTCACCCTATTGAAATACAATGTACTTCCTGCTTACTATTGAATTGGCCTGGGAGAAAATTTCTCTCTTTTTCATTCGGTAGAGCATAAGACTAGTAAACCAGAGGTCTAGGGTTCAACCCCTAGCAGAAACCAAACATGATTTAATTTTCACTATTTTCCCAATGATAAAATTTCAGTTTTATATCATAAAACCTTAAAGAAAGACAAAACCAAAAGTGATGACGTCATATACCCCTATGTTTGGTGTGGTACATTGTATTAGTAACTTTAATCTCCGATTGGTTGATGTTGCTAAGAAATTACAACACAATTTTGCTTTTTGTGCAAAATAAGATTTCATTTTTATTAGAAATTAATAGATATTCATTAGCTATATGTATAATTAAAAGTGTTGTCTTTTTATACTAAATTATAAGGATTATTAAACCAAGTTTGTTTTTGGGGTTATATGGAATAAACGGAAAATCTTAATGCACTTTTTATTCATTATACATGTAGCTGTGTCACAGATTTATGCAAAGTACACACAAAATATTTCGGTGTTTACAGTAAAACTTTCAAAATAATGCTGGCTTTCCTGAAACATTGTAGAAGCGGTTGTAAGATGAAAGCATGCTCATTTGTACCTCATTTGTCAAACACAACCCTCCTGTGGTCCAAAAATATAGTCTGGGTGAAATAACCCGAAAGTGTTTGCAAATATTGGCAGACTTGCCAAAAAAGAACGAGATAAGACAATGAAGACTTTACCCGAATGGATGTCAAATCCTAGACCAATTATCGATGATTTCAATGGAAACAACAGATTGAGACAAAGTGTGAAATGGTGAGTCGTGAGGTTGGTGTTTATATATATATATGAAGCAGAGAACTGTAGTGCAGTTTGGGTAGTAAAATATATTAGAGTACTTACAGACCTTGCCCAGTAAAGTTTTAATTAGTTATACATTGTATTGGAAATATACGAAACATGAAAAATGACAAATTCCATAAGATTTAATAATATCTAAATCTTAACTGTTCTTAACTCATTCACCCCTGAAATTTCATAATGAACTGTTCCAACCTTTGAATTGGAAGATTTCTAATGTGTATTCAGGGGTGAATGAGTTAAAGAGGTTTGAGAAAGCGGTAGTATTTTAAACACCCACAGGTGTCCATGAATCGAGTCAAATCGGCCTATAAACATACTTACATTAGCAATCTCATATTTCAGTGCACAAGAAAACACCTATCAACACAGTTATTTATTAGTAGGATTGTTTTTTCTTTAATTAGACCACACATTTTAAAAACAAGAGCACATAGGGTCTGTATCGCTCACCTGGAAATATTAGCAAAATTGAAGTTAAAATAGCTAGATGTTGCTGGAAGTGTACATGTATTACATGGTTAGTCAGGGATTATATTTAGATGCAATTGGACAAAATCCTGTCATTCCTATAGGAAAAGGAGGATTTTTGAAGACTTTGCTATCATTTCCCCTATGGGCCTCCTCTGCCCCCAGGGGGGTCAGACTCACCGTTGATACAAAATTAGGTCCCATTCACCCAAGGAAGCTTGAGACCAAATATGGGCATAATCCTGTCATTCCTACAGAAGAAGGATTTTAAAGAAATTGCTAAATTACCCCTATTGGGCCCCAGGGGGTCAGACCCACCATTTATACAAATTTGATTTCCCTTCCCCATAGGATGTTACTGTTCAAGGATATTAAAGCTATTCCTCTCTATCCCTTATTGGGCCCGCCTCTCTGCCCCCAGGAGGGTCAGACCCATCGTTTATATCAAATTGGTTCCCCTTCACCGAAGGATGCTTCATACCAAATTTGGACAAAATCCTGTCATTCCTACAGAAGAAGGAGGATTTTGAAGAATTTGCTTTTTTTCTCCTATTGGACCGCCCCTCTGCCGCAGGGGGCCACACTTTCCATTCATACAAAATTGAGTCCCCTTGACCCAAGAATGCTCCAGACCAAATTAGCATAATGCCTTAATACCTTCGGTAGAAGAATTATTTTAAATGTTTTACCTCTATTTCCCTTATTGGGCCCCGCCACTCTGCCCCCATGGGGGCCACACCCACCATTATACAAAATTGAGTCCCCTTGGCCCAAGGATGCTCCCGACTAAATTAGGATAAAATCTAGTTGGCTGTTCAGAACTAATAGCGTTTTGAAGGAAAAGTTGACGGACCGATGGACGACGGACGACGGATGGACAAAGACGCTGCAGTATGGCATAAACTCCCCATGGTCCTTCGGACCAGGTAAGCTGAAAATGCATCATGCAATCGGTACAATTCCTTTATTAATCTGACATTATACATAAATTAACATACTACATATTTTGGAGAGTGCTACAATGATAACACCACTAAATAAGTCTGTTTACAGTACATATGTATCTCCTATGTGGGTTTTCTCCCCTGCAAGTGGAATGTAACATATAAATGAATGGAATTTCAAAAGTCATGTAATGTCACATTTTATTTCTTTTAACGCATCTTTATTACATATTTATTTGAACATATCTTAACATATTCAAACCATATTCAAACCAAATCCGCAGGTCAGATGTAAAAGCAAACATGCATGTAAATTTTTTAAAATAGTGAATGTATTAAAAGTGAGATATTTGTTGCCATGGTTTTAGAAGTTTAGTGATGGGAACATTCTTCATGCCATTGAAGAGAGAAAGAGTCAGTCTGCAGACATTGCATTCGTGGTCAAAGTTCAGGAAAAGTTTGAGATTATGATTGTACCGCATATTCTTGGAAATACCTTGAACAATCTGTCTTGATCTTGGTATGAGAATCAGATATCAATGTAAGGTGGAATCAGGCAAACAAGTTTTCTTAGAAAGTTTATGAAATTAAAATTTATATTTAAACACTGGTAAGCAATACAATATATTTTGATTTTAATCTATGAAATTCAAACTTAATTCAGTATTAAAATGTATACTTTATGTGTCATCAGGGGTAAATGAGTTAAGCAATAAAACCTTTTTTTTTTTTTTTTTAAATCTGTATTTTTTTCTTCTTTCAGATTGCTGAAGGATATTCCAAGATAGTAGAAACAGTTTCCAGGCTGATGCAAACATGTAAAATTTAGAAAACAGTCTTCCCGACCACACGCTCTATCTACTCACATGACCCTACGGTGTAGGCCCGCGCCCGGCCATTGGCAATATATAAGTCTGCAACAAAGAGTTTGTACATCTAATTGGGAAAGTATAAGAGTTATCTCCCTTAGACCCAGCACTCCACAACATGCTCAGGACAAGCTGAAGTCTTCTTTTTTTCTACAGTATACCTTATAAATACATCTATTTGGGATGGAAGTTAGGGTTGCCTCCCCTAGAACTAACAGTTCAAAACATGCCCAAATAAAGCTTCTCTTGATCAAAACAAACAAATGCATTTAACATTTGATTGGAATAAAGTGAGAATTTTCTCACTTTAAATCCACTCTATATTACATGCTCAAAACTAGCCAATTTTTAAGAGAAGGCATTTTCTTTTGATCTGGTTGTTATGCTCATAGCAGAGAGACACCCAGGGGAACCCATATACCATTTGTGAGTGCATGAATGTGTGTGTATGTTGGTAGAATACCTGTACAGGAATTGGCAATTAACAGGTGTGCAAGACAATATCAACTGGCTATATTACTTAGCAGATGTGCAAGATCAATGTCACTGGACTGCTTCATACACTGATAGGTAAGCAAGGTAATAATGACTGGACAGTATCAATTGTGTATCTCATGTTGCTAACATAAATGAAGGGAAATGGAAATGTGCCTATATATTTCAAAATGGGAAAAATGTTTTTAACATTATTATGACCTTATCCCTATGACCATGCCCCTGTGATCTCTTGTCCATATGACCTTGACCCTGCAATATTTTCAATATGACTTTACCCGTAACCTTGCCCCTATGACCTTGTCCTTATGACCTTGCTCCTGAAACCTTTCCCTATGACCTTACCACTGAAACCTTGCCCTGGTGATATTTTCCCTGAGCTTGTCTTTATGACCTAGCCACCATGACTTTGTCAATAGGACCTTGCCCTTGCGACATTTTCACTATGACTTTACCCCGTAACCTCGTAACCTTGTCCCTATGACCTTGTCCTAATGACCTTGCCTCTGAAACCTTGCCCTGGTGATATTTTCCCTGAGCCTGTCTTTATGACCTAGCCACCATGACTTTGTCAATATGACCTTGCCCTTGCGACATTTTCACTATGACTTTATCCTGTTACCTTGCTCTTATGAACTTGTTATTATGACCTCGCCCTAGTGAGCTTTTCCCTGACCTAACCTCTGTAGCCTTGCACCTATGGCCTAATCCTTATGAGACTTTTCCCTCTAACCATGAGGCTATACTGAAAGCAAGTGATCACCTGACGCAGGGATAACCGGCTCGCCGTCGAGGCCCTCCAGGGATGATGCACGTCTAATGTAAGCACCGGTGCGGGAGTTGGGGGCTGGAATGTCTGAACCGGTCTTTTTGTAGCGGAAAATTGGCGAGTTTGGCGGAATTTCATTATCAAGGTAAGGAAGTGAGTTGAGAGGGACAGCCTCCTCAGAAATGGGTGGGTTCTCAGGGTCTTGGTTCTTTTCCATCCCACAGGATTTGAACCGGTTGAAATCTCGTCGTATCGATGGCAGGCGGAGTTTGAAGCTTCTGTGGCGTCCTTGGAATAAAAGAAAAAATACCTTCAGATCTGACCCTGTTCAGCTACATGTACGTTACTGTAAGCATATTCATTTTGTGGTACTGTTGTTTCCGTACTATTAGCATCAGACCTTGAGTTTTAATTCATATGCACTGCTAACAAGTATTAGCTCATTACTGCCTGTTCCAATCCTGAACCTATGTATGTACATCATTAAAAGCATGCAATTGGTACTGTGCACTTAGTTGTGAGACAATTGTATTTTTACATTCTAACTTTGAAATTATTTTGAAGTTTTGGCAAATTTTAAGAAATTTCTTTTTTAAAAACAAGCACATTTTGAAATCATTAAAGAATAAAAATGCATAACAATTTCAAATATACTTGTTCTTTTATAAAGCAAATTTCTGTAAAAGCAGCATCAGAATCAGATTCACTTACGAATGTTTAATTGTATATGTTTTTAACTTGCTTGCATTTTCATGCATTTTACTTATTATTAATAATATTATTTATTATTAATATGTCACATATACTATAAGCTACATGCATAAACAATTGTGCAAAGAATTGTGCAAATTTGTGAGTATTCTTACCTAAAGGTGCAACTTTATCAATAAGCTTCTATGACCATCCCATATACCCAAGTGATAATCAACTTACAATGTACCTAATATACCAAATTCTAATAATGCTGTATTTTAGCAGTACTTCTGTAAATTTGTACTCCTGATTAACTAGCAGTTTTTCTATCTAAACATGATAACCACAAAAAACTCAACTGATAAAAAAATCTCACTATCATTCTGTTCAGTTATCTACCTTGTTGACATAATTACCTGTTCAGTTATCTGCCTTGTTGACATAATTGCCTGTTCAGTTATCAACCCTGTTGACATCATTACCTGTTCAGTTATCTACCTTGTTAACATAATTACCTGTTCAGTTATCTACCTTGTTGACATAATTACCTGTTAAGTTATCTTCCTTGTTGACATAATTACCTGTTCAGTTATCTTCCTTGTTGACATAATTACCTGTTCAGTTATCTACCTTGTTGACATAATTACCTGTTCAGTTATCTACCTTGTATACATAATTACCAGTTCAGTTATCTTCCTTGTTGACATAATTACCTGTTCAGTTATCTACCTTGTTGACATCAATACCTGTTCAGTTATCTTCCTTGTTGACATAATTACCTGTTCAGTTATCAACCCTGTTGACATCATTACCTGTTCAGTTATCTACCTTGTTGACATAATTACCTGTTCAGTTATCTGCCTTGTTGACATAATTGCCTGTTCAGTTATCAACCCTGTTGACATCATTACCTGTTCAGTTATCTACCTTGTTAACATAATTACCTGTTCAGTTATCTACCTTGTTGACATAATTACCTGCTCATTCATCTAGCTTTTTTGTTGACATAATTACCTGTTCATTCATCTAGCGACCTTGTTGACATACTTACCTGTTCATTCATCTACCATGTTGACATAATTACCTGACTTGCTGTTTTTGACATTGTTTTCTGGTTTGTTGAGGGTGGTGGCAGTGGCATGCTCTGAGATGTCTTCATAATTGATGATAAACATGATAACCTCCCCTCGTTCATTTTTCACAGGGGCAGTTAGGACACTGCATAAGAACTTGGATCCTGAAAAACATGAGTATATATGTGAAAATAGTTTTCAGGAACAACATCTAAAGGTATTTGTTTTCAACTTTATTGGACGATTGAGAGGATAGTGCACTTGTATTTCAACAATATGGTAATATATGGGGGTCATCTGCTTGACCATGTGTGTATACTCCATTTTACTCTAGTTTACCCCTGTATTGAGACCCCGTTGTGATATTGCATAGGGGCTAAGAAGAGTGATTAATATGAATCAATAGATTTCATAATTGTTGTAAAGTACAGTTGTAGGATTGCACAACGTTACACGATGTGCGGTGTGCGCACGAAGAGCAAACGATCATCACTTGCACACATTTGTGCGGACAATGGACGAACGTTGGGCTATAACAATCGTGGTTGGTGAAAATTGAGGAATGCCTTAACAATATATATGGTTTCATGCATGTGTTTAAACATCTATAAGCTTATCTTTCTGTCTATACTTTCTTAAATTTAGAAACGGTGTTTTCTGTGTTTTTTAAACAACCTAAATTGACACATGTAAAATTAAGGTATTAGTCAGAGCTGATATGTGCATACCATCAAACTGCTATCCAATACTGATAATGCTAACCCAAATTGAATTACTTCCAATGGCAATGAAACAAATGTTTGTCCAAAATGTGATTTCCCTATATAAACTATAGTAAAGTTTACCCCCTCCCCAGGGGGAAACGTGAGCCCCCAGGGTCATGAAATTCACAACTTTGGGTAAAGCACTCTAAGACCCTTCCATCTATGAAGAGTATTTGATTCTACCATATCTGGGTTTTGAGAAGAAGATTTTGAAATTTCAGTCAATTCAACCCTTTTTGGCCCCACCCATTAATACCTTAAGGTACTTCTTGAGAAATAGCAATAACAAACTTTCACTATCAAAATCCAAGATGGCTGCCTGTCGGCCATTTTGTTTATCCGATCAGTCTCAAAAGTTGCCCTGCACAGCTAAGGACCAAGGGAAACCTACGTATACAATTTGAGAAAGATCCCTCTAGTGCTTCTTGAGAAATAGTGATAACAAACTTTCACTATCAAAATCCAAGATGGCTGCCTGCATATGCTGTCCGCCATGTTGTTTATCCGATCAGTCTCAAAAGTAGCCCTGCACAGCTAAGGACCAAGGGGAACCTACATATAAAATTTGAGAAAGATCCCTCAGGTACTTCTTGAGAAATACTGATAACAAGAATTGTTTAAGGACGGACGACGGACGGACGACGGACCACGGATGCAGGGTGATTTGAATAGCCCACCATCAGATGATGGTGGGCTAAAAATCAACTCTCAAGGGGTATAATTATTTCAGTAAATATATCTAGCCAACATGTTAAGATTTTTCATTCTTATTCCCAAAGTGGAGAATGATAATTTCCCCCCACCTTAAATGCAAGTGGTGATTGCATCAAACACACCCATTGATTGCATTGTTTTCCAGCAAAAACAAGGAGTTATTTTCTGTGATATACTATTGTTGGCGTGACATCACACAGTTGTTATGACTGGGAAATCCCCCTGCCTAATACCCTAGGGTAGGACAGAAATATCATTCCCTGACCAGAAGTGTTGATATCTCTGCGTAATGGGAAGACACTCTTAGATTTGTGAGGAGAGACTATTAACTGTGTATATAGAAAAAGAAAGCCACTCCTTGTTGAAAGCTTCAAGACAGGTTTGGGTCAGATTGGTGCTTTCCTCATTAGACTTTTATTGATTATTTCAGTGCAGACTTGTATCTAGTTTTCATCAATTTCAATGCACAACTATAGAATCTCAATTATCATCTCCCCTCCCCCTCCTCGCCCTTCCCAACTCCTCACATTCATCAGAAACATGACAAGCGTCTGCACAGACGACAATGTAAAACAGGGATGTTTTCACTGGTATCATAACAGTAATGTATGTATGTCATTCTGTCAGTCAGAAATAGGACAGGCAACAAGCTATGGGATTGACCTTATCTAATGCTGTGTTATTGCTATTTTTCCTAATCCAGTTAATTAATTGTAGGTTTTAATCATCAGACTTTAGGGAGTGCTACCAGTAAAACCTTTGATAAATCAACAAGATTAAAGAAACTATTGTGCTACGTTGTCGACATGTGGATAAACAATTCCTCATTTACAAATCAAGAAAACAATTAATTTCGGTCCTGAAATACATACTCTTATAAATGATCAAATTTCTTTAGATTGATGCCAAACAATATCAATATACCTAACCCCTCCATGACCTTTCAGGAATGCTCCGTCACAGATTTATAAAACCTTCCCTTACCTTGAAGCTCCGTCACAGATTAATAAAACCTTCTTTTACCTTGAAGCTCCATCACAGATTAATAAAACCTTCTTTTACCTGGAAGCTCCGTCACAGATTAATAAAACCTTCCCTTACCTGGAAGCTCTGTCACAAATTAATAAAACCTTCCCTTTCCTGGAAGCTCCGTCACAGATTATTAAAACCTTATATCCACCAAAAGGGGGATGTTCCTCATCTTCTAACCCTCTGTCAAATTCAAGCTGCCGAAGGATAGACATTCAAGAATCTCACACCAAGGGTTGATATTTGTCTAGCTTACCCTTAGTTACCCTAAGTTACCTTAGAGACTGATTATTTTTCTTCCATTCTAATTATTATGTGTTTTGAAATATTGTGTATCAGCATTTGTAATGTTTTTTATTTTATTTTTGCACGTTTCTCCCGTTTTAAGATGGTTGTGATGTCATATGCTACCATTTCTATAACGTAACCTTATTGTTTCTATCATTATTTGACGTTCATGTTGTTTTGCTATATCTGTCATACTCTAGGAGATGACACATACCCAATACCATCAGGAGTAACAGAGAAATCTTTAACAGGAATAAACAAGAGATAAATGGAGGTAGAAAGTAATTGTACTCTATAAATGTAGTACAACCAATCTCTGAGGCTTTACTCGATAGCTGTAGTACAACCAATCTCTGAGGCTGTACTCTATAGCTGTAGTACAACCAATCTCTGAGGCTGTACTCTATAGCTGTACTACCAATCTCTGAGGCTGTACTCTATAGCTGTAGTGCAACCAATCTCTGTGGCTGTACTCTATAGCTGTAGTACAACCAATCTCTGTGGCTGTACTCTATAGCTGTAGTACAACCAATCTATGTGGCTGTACTCTATAGCTGTAGTACAACCAATCTCTGAGGCTGTACTCTATAGCTGTGGTACAACCAATCTATGTAGCTGTACTCTATAGCTGTAGTACAACCAATCTCTGAGGCTGTACTCTATAGCTGTACTACCAATATCTGGGGCTGTACTCTATAGCTGTAGTACAACCAATATCTGAGGCTGTACTCTATAGCTGTAGTACAACCAATCTATGTGGTTGTACATTGTGGCTGTAGTACAACCAATCTATGTGGCTGTACTCTATAGCTGTAGTACCACCAATCTCTGAGGCTGTACGCTATAGCTGTAGTACAACCAATCTATGTGGCTGTACTCTATAGCTGTGGTACAACCAATCTCTGAGGCTGTACTTTGTGGCCATAGCCAATTTTTAGCCTATAAGGATGAAATAATTTCTAAGGCTGCACTTTTCGGCTGTTGATGATTTTTGAGGCTGTGCTTTGTGGGTGTATGCAATCTCTGAAGCTATGTTTTGTGGCAGTTGACAGTCTCTGCACATGTACTTTGTAGCAGTAGTAAATCTCTACAGCTGTACTTTATTGCTGTGGTCAATCTCTGTAGCAAATGGAGCCTGAGACAGATAAGGAGTCTATCCTGTTTTCTTTTGTCTGCAGAAATTTACACTCTTACATTATTAGAGAAATAAAAATGAATAGGAAAAGTGGGTGATAGTGTTTGTCTAGACCTTAATCAATAGGAGCCAATAAGTGGTGGGACATGTACACTACCAGTCTAATCCATTCCCATTAGCTCAACACACTGCTTCTACTACCTGCATGAAATACCTTAACGAGATACCTTAACGAGCAACCAGACACCATTAAACATCTTAATGGATCATTACAGGTGAGAATAGCACACCTAAATGGGTTATTGAGAACATTGCACATGTCTGTACATATGGTATTTGATAGACAGACAATTTTATGTCTAATGGGAAACCATCTCATAATAAATTGTGCTATTTATATAGTATTAAGAAAATGTTGCTACAATCAATTACAAAAGGATTTCTTTTCATTTATCTTCAAAGATGACAATTATTACTTTGATATTGGAAGAAGTGCTACATCATAATTACAAGGTGTGACATTACAAGGGTGGCCACTGATGATAATGTTATAATCTGTCAGTGTCTTCTTCATTGTCTTCATAATGACAGATCTACTTAAGGCAGTATGATATAATCAACATTATATATAATAGGAGGTGTAAGGATTCACTGATGCATCGATGTATTGGATCGCAAGGGCCGCGATACGATGAACCAATGCGGCAAGACTGTATCGTGTTACCTGCGATACTTTTCATTTTGTACTCTCCCTTGTTGGAACTCTTCAAAGAAAAAATAGTTATAGCACTCAACAAACCAAAATGGCGGATTGAGACGATGATGAGAAATATACGCTAAGGCGTCTGCACATTTCAAGTCGCCTATCTCGCAATGGGTTTTCTTTCAAATCTACTAATTCCAAAGATAATGTAATCTAGACAGACAAATTGTTTTTGTATTGCAATGAATATCGAAGAAAACTTGAATATGCAGGAAATACGAGGAACATGACCACGCATGACTCGTCAATACTTTGATCTTTACCGTGCCAGTTCGAAGAGAAACTCACGTTTACACGTCTTTTATAACATTAAAAAGGATATGTCAAACAAGACAGTCTTACTTATATGTTGGGGGAATTAAGCAGAAATGTGACAGTTTCCGTTCAAAACCAATTACGACTCCTATCGGTAGATATTATGCCAATGATCTTCGTCCGTTTTCCACTGTTGAAAATTATGGTTTTACGGTA